TCCATCCATCCATTCTAGTTAGCCCATCCATCCGTCCGTCCGTCCGTCCGTCCGTCCGTCCATCCATCCATTAATTCATTCTAATTAGCTTCATTCCTTCATACTTTTCACTCCTTTTTTCTCTTTCCTTTCTTTTTCTTTTTTCTTTCCTTTTCTTTCGTCTTCTGCATTTTCTTCCACTTCTTTATTTCTTGGTTAATTGTTCATTCCCTTCTGCCCCCCCCCCCCCCCCCCTCTTTTTTTTCTCGCGACAACGAAAAAAAAAACCCGACTGTGTTTAAATAATAAAGAAAAATTTTAAATTACATAACGATTTAAATAATAGAAAGACTAAATTCCGTAATTATTTCTCTGACGGAAATGAAAGGGATGTTCTCGCTTGAAGCGATTCTAATTTCAATCATCTTCCAGCTGCTAATCTTTAGACGAAAATCTATTGCTGCAAGCATTTGAAGAAGCGCTTGAAAACATATTATGTTTGCTACTGAAAATTTGTGTTGTCAGATAATTAAAGACGGATTCTTGCCCGACGCTTCTTTCTAATGCAAGTTTTGAAGCTTTGAGGTTTTGTTTAAATGAGTGAATTTTTGGAGAGAAAAATAGGTTTTGTTAATATTGAATGAGAGAATTTTTGAGGAGAAAAATAAAGAAGACAATTATATAGTTACTATTCGTCTTATAGTCATTCTTCATTTGTGCGTTTAGGTAGTGTTTATTTAAAAAATGCTTTATGTTGCTAGTATCGCTAAGCAATGCAACAGTTTGTTCCTAATTTTGCGGGCGAGCGTCTCTAAAAGAGAGAGAACTCAAAGTTTAAACTGGCGAAGCTTTTTCTATTCAATGCTCCAACATTGACCACCAAAAGCACTTCAACTAATACCATCCACTCAAAATCCAAATAACTTTGTTTGAAGAAGGATTACAGCCATCAGAGAAGGCATTATACTTCGTAATGGCTCCAAGAAGAAAAGACAAAGAACTGATCACTTTGAAATATTGTAAATCCAAGTTTTTATAATAAGATATAACTTGAGAGAAATGCTTGAAATTAGCCTAATTAGAGCGAAATAATTTGAACTCAGTAAAAGACTTCCAACTTCAAGCAAATTTTCTCACTGTTCGCCTTTTGAAATTACAGGAAGCGTAATTTTGGAGCTGTTGTTTATAGGCAAAGCTTTATAACAGATTTGTAGAATTTTAGTTGAAAACTTTGACTTTAGGACAGCTGTTTTGAGCGCGATTTCTCTCGAAAATGATCTTTCCAAGCGCAACGATGAATCGTCTCGTAGAACAATACAATAAGTATACGTTATTCACTATTCTTTCTGTGTTTCTTGAAAGAAAGATTGTTTTTAGAGCACCCAACTGGGAGCCAGCAACTTCGATATTGCTCTAGTATTTATTTCCATGATCTTGACCAAAGAAACGGCGCTGTCAGAGTAAATGTCTATTGTTTTCGCTCTGTCTAAAAAAATACTCCAACTCACGTACTAAAAACAGAATCCTAGAAAATACTCTTAAATACGCTAAAAACTATCTTAAAACACCTCTATGTTTTAAAATGAGTTTAGTTTAAACTTATTTTGGAATATTGTTGGTAGAATTAAAGTCAAGGGGACGCAATTCGAAGAGTACGTTTGCGCGTTACAGTCAAAACGAGAGGTTCGTCATAAAAGCAGCTGTTTTTTTACGCCTTGAACGAGTTAAACCAACTACACAGCGAGGGTATTCAACTGCAATACGAATAGTAATCTTGTCTTTTTTATATACTTGTCTAATTGAGTCAAACTTTCAGCCATCGAAGTAAATCAAGAAATCCGCCCGTAACTACACTAGTTTAAATGCTCAAATTTTATTTGATTCTTAAATAAATTAAGACAAAATTCAAGTAGAAAAATGTCAATTCTTTGAAGCATTAAAACTCAAGTCTAAAAAATAAATACAAAAAGCAAGCCAGTAAGAGCATTGAGTACAATTTTACTGGAACTCAAAGCTATAAAGGCACTCGAAATCGTATTATTTCATTCTAAAGTTAAAGTACCAGGAATATTGCTGTAATTTGTTTACCTTTAACGTGTATTTTTAGTGTAGTGGTCGTCCTTTTCGTCTTGACAGACATTGATATCACCGTTTCAAGATTTCTTTCTGATATTGTTATTATTTCTTTGTAGCTGTGGTCTCTCTACATCGTTGTGGCGTATACAACTTCTTAAAACTGGGTCTGAGTTTACGCTATCATTAAGTACTCCACAATTCAATTATTTTTTGCTGTCAATGAATATATTCACGTATAGAACACGGTACGAGCTGATGTACGTTAGTTGTGTCGATTCGAGGAGCCAATTCTTAAATCATTCTTGTACATCATTTCCATGGATTTCACATTGTTATTCAAATTGCAAAATCACTTGAAGCGAAACGTGGTGAATACAATGGCGAATATAACAAAGACACTGATCCAGTAATCGCTTGTTTTGGCCAATCTTGATCAAAGCCTTGTTTGACTGCATTAATTGACTATACAATATAACCAGTTCAGATGAATGCAAAAGTGCAAGAGAATCTACAAACATTTGTTTATGAAACAGCACCGAAAAAGCTGAATTTTTTCTAGCCTTACACCTACCTTGGATTACCTTCACTTACTTACGTACGATAACTCGCGGCCTAGTACGAATTAGTATGACCGCTCGCTTCCTTTTAAATCCTTCCAGAAATGAGGCATAAAAATTATAATGGCCTAATACCGGATCTAGAACAAAAGAAATCTACTAATTATTTCACTGCTAGCCTATATTACATCTTCAAGTAACTTCAAAATAATTCAACCATCACCACTTGAATTAATATTGTATCTTTTTCAGAGTTTCAGCTCTACCGAGGTCGCTCAATGCATAGATTGCCTTGATTTTAAGCAACGCACCTTTTTCACTTTATCATGTATTGAAATCACTCATTAGTTTAATATCCTTCCTAATTAGAAACTTAGATTACGTCACTTATATATGACTTTGAACAGTGTTCTTGTTTTTCAGAAGTTAAAGTCGGTAATATCAGACTGGATCTAACTTTCGTTAACGTGTATCAACAGCCAGAGGCTTTATTTTATTTAATGGCACTGGAGTGTGACAGCAATGCTGTAATTATGGGACTGCCAAAGTCAATGGTCTTGTCGGACTGTGGATATATGTCAAGTTTTGGATATTATTAGAGTACTATTAGAGTATCAGGAAGTTGTTTGATTTTCATTTTGTCCTTTTATAGCTTGCTTTTCTTTTCTGGTTTTGTGTCAGTGATTTTTTTCTGTTCTATCTATTTATCCATCCATCCATCCATCCATCCATCCATCCATCCATCCATCCATCCATCCATCCATCCATCCATCCATCCACCCATCC